TGGCCGCCCCCCCCCCGAGCCCCCCCGCTACAGCCGTGCCTTCCCCGGCCACAAATTACTGGGAAAACTGGAGAAAGACGCAGGCTAATGGGGTTGAGACAGGAAAAGGATACACCGAGGGCTTAAAATAGAATAGAGTGGGAAAGGCGGCTGCCCATCGAGGGGCTGAGGAAAATTAATGCTACAACAGCAGGTCGGAGGAGGCACAACTGATATCGGGAAGTCACGGAGAAGGGAGATTCAGTGGGACAGAATTACTGGGATGTACAGGACAGAGAAATTGGGGTGCAGGGGAAATGGGGATGGGGACTCAATGGAAAACTCCTCTGAGGGGGTCTGGGCAGGGGAATCAGGCTGTCTCGAGGGGAGGCCAACAGCAGGGATAACCAGGGACCCGTGCTATGGGATGGTCTTAGACCCGGATACGAGGGTACGGGTGCAGGGTGGGCTCTGTTCAGTAACTGCCAATATCATGAGATCCTTACCATTCTTCACTTGGATTGCTGAGCCTTGGCCTTGAAGGTGGACCACAGCTGGCTGCAAAGGAGATCATAGGGATTTAAAATTAATGGGGAACACCGCGTCATTTTACAGTCACTCGACACACCTCCACAGCCCTGGTGACCGGTACAGGGGCACGGCAGTACCCTGAGATCATTAATGCTTTTCATAAATGAAAAAGAGGTCAGAGGAGCTGACAACATGTTTAAGTACTGGAGAAGAGGCGAGAAGCCCAAGCCAGATTAACGTGGCGTTTTTTTGAGCAATAAAAAAAGTGAGCTCAGGCAGTCGTTCTGCACGGCGGTGATTTAGCACATGCACGAAGGGGTGGGTTTTTTTCAGAGTGATACCATCGAACACAACATTAGCAAACACAGCCGGTAGCGTTTACAAAAACCCAGCCAAAGCTGGGCTTTTCCCTTGAAAGGAGATCAACTAACCTGAATGTCTCTGGAGCCGGCCTTGTCTGTGGCACCTGTAAAATACGATTTCACATCATTGAAGGGGAAGCTTGAAAGAGCTGCATTAAACACGCCTATAAATAAAACTTCTCCTACCCCACAATAACCATTAAACCCCCATTTTTAACAGAAGGAGGACAGTACCAGCAGCATGGGGTGCAGTTTAATGTTAAAAAGTACATAAACAAGAAAAAGATTCATCCTACTTTTCCCTATTTTATTCCTACATTTCTGTCTAACATCGTCAAGATTCCCCAATGTTATTCAACCAGTTTCCACTAGAAGGACAAATTGCACAACCCCTTTCCTGATCGGTAGTGGCAATAAAGCCTCTTGGCTGCAAAGATTACAAGTTTCACTCTGCAGTAACTCAGGTCATTCACTGCATTCAAGCTACACGCTGAAATCTCTCTTCTCCGAGAGCCAAATCGCAATTAAAGAGGAGATGCTTGCGGGCAGCACTCTGGAGTGCTAAGGACCTCATGCTGCTCCTGGCCTCTGCTTTGGCAATTTCTGAGATATAAACTGAGAACTCAAACAAATCTTCCTTTGAAAGTCATGGGAGCTATAGGGTAATAGCCCTGATTTCTCTGAAGATATCTTTTTTTAATGCTAGACTTTTCATATATATATATACACACGTAACAAACGACACTGCTGTGAACTTCCACTAATCTGCATCTTAAAAAAGTTATTAAATTCAGAGATTTCAACAAAATAACTGGCACACGACTCTGTGGAGAAACAATACGGTGCAAAGAAACAAAGAAAAATGAAACCAAGAACTGCAGGAGAAAAACATATTTCCATCTGGTTGGTACGGGAGGCAAGCTGCCTCGGTTCCTGCGGTTCCTGGGCCGGCGGAGCGGCTGTGCTAAGCAGCAGCCTTCCCGGTCCCCAGGCAAAGCTAGGCTTTGCATCAGCTTAAGAGGAACCACCACAAACACCGAGACACCGCCGGGAAGAGCCACTTTGCGCACCCAGACATCGATCACTGGCAGACTTTGGTAGGATGCTTAAAAGCAACTGAGGCTCTGCAGGTCTCTGCTGCTCTTCCTCTCCATCCTCTTCTGACAGGCACCCCCTCGCCCGCGGCATCGCACCCTAAACCACCGCTGCTGGGTTCCCACCACACAGCCCACGGGGCCGCAGAGCTGCTGCTCCTCTCACTCCCCTGTGGGTGCAAGGATGCGCCCAGGAACACCCCAGTCCTACGCAAGGATGCTGCACCATCGCATTCGGACCCTACGCTGTCCTCAGATGGACACCTGGAGCTTTTTTTATTATTTGTACAGCAGCGGTGCCGCCGGGGCACCTCCTGCATCCCCCCGGGGGTGCAAAGGCTCTGAGCAGAGAAAAGGACAAACCCGTTACCTGAGGGGCCCTGCAGTCCTGGTGGTCCCTGAGGGCCCGGCGGGCCAGGGGGGCCGGGTGGTCCCATGACTGTTGTGCCAGGAATCCCCGGGATGCCGGGAATGCCGGGGGGACCCTGGGGCCCAGGAGGACCTGGTGGTCCTTGGGGACCGTTGGGCCCTGGAGGACCAGCCTTCTTACCTGAAAAATAGAAGGTGAAACGTTAGCTTCTCCGCACACCGAGTGTGGGATGGTCTTTTACCTACAGGAAAGCCCTGGGAACAAGGGAAGCAGAAGATCAGGGATGGCTCATTGCTGGCTGGAAGGCAGGGACAAGGAGGAGCACCCAACCGGCCGGGGTGGGCTGGGGGTCCCAAGGCCCCACACCACAAGGACAAATGCCGCCGGCAGGGCAGAAGCAGGTCACTGCCTTGCAGGCTCCTTCCAGCACACATAATTACATTTAAACGAGGCACGTGGACTCTCCGAGGCCTCCCAAGAGATGGAGGCTGAGGTGGTCTCTGCCCCAGAGCTCCGGCCACAGCCCTC